CGTTGAAGAAAATAACAGTAAACCAAGGGCACAAATCCATTCTGCCTAAGATCCATCTTCAGTGCAGCTCTACGTTCTGAGGTCGGGAAGGTTCTGGCCCAAGGATGTTGCCAGCAGATTTAACAGGGAGGACAACATCTGCTGCCACCAAAGCAGTTGGTGATGCAGGAGATGTCAAAGCCCCCGGAGCTGATGGGCACTCCCTGAGAGCTGAGGATGCTGCCAACGGCAGCGGAGGTGGAGGATCCCACGGCGGTGTTCTGTGGGAAGGAGCTGAGGACGGGGCCGGGCAGGGTCACCAGCACAGCAGGCGGCTCAATGACGACATGGGAGCTCTGGCACTGCCTGACACAGCACTCATTGCAGCTGCTGCCCAGCGGGCAGGGGCCGCAGGGCTGGCAGCAAGGGTCGCAGGGCCGGCAGCAGGACATGGCTCGGGGTCACAGGTGCACCTGGCACAGAGGACAGGCAGAAGCAGAAAGTGGGGACACGTGAGAAGCAGCACTGCACCCAAACACCCTGCAGCCAAGGCAGCTCTTGGCTCACATTGCACTGCCCAGCTCAAAGCCCAGGAGCCACCTCAGCCAAGTGCCAGCCTCTCACTGTCTGCACAAGACCTTCTCTCCCCTGCCCTCTCCCAGCAGAAGCAACTCCCAGCCCTGTGCTCCCAAATCCTGTCTCAGATGAGACCTACAGCCAGGTAGGTCTCTTGAAGCAGCAGGAGCAGCAGCAGGAGCAGGATCTTCCCACTCACCTGATTCCTGAGGAGAAGGAGGTGAGAGAAGTGGATGAGAGAGCAGAGACTGGGGCTGCCTTTTATAGCAGTCCTGCCCTGCCTCAGGCCCAGAGGCACCTTTGTGGAAGGCATAATTTTCTGACCAGCTCATGTCAAATGTGCACCATCCCAGCTAATGGTAGGGGCTGTGTCCTGATTTCCTGCACTGCGGCCTCTTCATTTCTTGGTTTCTGTCAGGTGCATTCCGATCTGAAGTCTTGTGTTAGGGCTGGGATGAGATGCCCAAAAATTTAGGAGATTTGAACACTTCAGAACAGTCAGACTGCTCCGATCATGCTCTTGTGGCATTCCATGCAGGCATGTGTTGCATCTTGATTCGTCCCTGCTGGGTCAGCCTTCGGCCAACATTTCTCCACCTCGTTTTTGGTCTTCTCTTGTTCTGTATTTTGTTCCTCTCCAGGAGCCACAGCCAGGACACTTCCTCTAGAAAAGTTCTGCCCAGTGTCCCCAGTGCCCCTTCTCCAGGCTCATGCTGGTCTTTCTCACCACATGTTCTTACCAATAATCCTTGGTTATTACCAACTATGCTGGGTTGACCTTGGCTGGAAGGCCAGTGCTCTCCAAGTCACTGTGTGACTCTCCCTTTTCAGGTGAACAGGGATGAGAAAGTAAGAAGGAAATCAACCTGAATATTTAGGTATGGCAATTGGCTAAAGCAAAAGCCAAAGGTTTTGCCTTTAGTAGTAAACATGAAAAACCCACTTTTTTTGCTCTACTTCCAATCAGAAAGTTCTATCAGCCCACGTCCAAGGAAGCAGGGTTTGAGCACATGTAATGGTGTTACTTGAAGGCAAACATTGCAAATAACAAATGCCCACCCTTGTTTCTCCTTTCTATAGCTGTTGTATCAGAGCTCTTGTCATATGGCGTGGGATATCCCTTTTACTCAGTTTGGGTCAACTGTCCGAGTCTTGTCCACTCCCAGGATCTTGCCACCCCCCAGCTCCTGGTTAGGATGGGAATGTTGGAGAGACAGTGCTGATGCTGTGTGAGCACTGCTCAGCAGGAGACAAAGAACTGGAGTGTTATGGGCACCTTTGTAACTCCCAGTGCAGAGCACAGCTCTGCCATGGCTGCTGTGGGGAACATGAAGAGCATCTCTGCCAGCCCAAACACACCTACAAGCCTTGGCTGTCTCCAGGGACATCCAGCTGTCCATGTTTGAGATATTAACATTAGTCCTTATCTCCTACATTTGTCCACTGGGATGGGATACAGTCTCTTCCTGTCCAGACCAATGCCACCACTCAGACTGGTGCTGAGTAGGGTGCAGGCTAAGGCCTTATAACAAATGAGGCGATGCAACTGAAGGGATAAAGGTCTAGCTCTGAGATGTAGGATAGACATTCTGGGTGGTACAGTGGCAGTCAAGAACTTTAGCTCTTTGGGAGAAGAAGCCAACACCTACCTCCACACTATCTCCTTCCATTTAGTGTCAGAGATTGATGAAGTCTGCATTACCCCTTAAAGATATTGGTAGACAGCAGTGGTTTTCAAAACAAACCAAATTCCCTTCATAATGGTGATATTTCATCAGAATTGATTTGGAAAATGAGAGAATGCTGGGTGAGAGCTCCCAAAGAGCAAAAGTTATGGTAGGACACCTACTGAACCAGACATCTCTCTGCAGCCTGGAGATGGATGGAAATGGATGGAAATCTGTCCCTTTGGGAATTGACACATTCCTTAAGCAAGGCTGGCTCACATTTACAGACAGCACCAAAGATGCTTTTTTAGGCAAAACACTCTGATCCCTTTCTGAAGAAGCAGAGAAAGGTGGTAGGAATGGCCTTCCATCACCATCTCATACTGAGACTAATTGACTCTCCACATGGAGCAGTGACCAGGCTTGGCCCTTCAGTTCATCCAGGAGGACAGGTGCTCTGAACAATGAGATGTGGTCATGGAAAGTTCCAATCTCTGTTCCATGGATGCTGAACCCCATTCTGCTGAGTACCAGTGATGAACAGTGTTGTCTTTAGGCTCCCTGGATTGAAAGTGCTCGACCCATCTTCCCTAAAGCAGGGACTCAGAGAATCAAGATCCTGTCATTCAGCTTCCTCCTGCTCTAATCCCCAAACCTCCTGCCCATTCAGACGTAAAAGGGCTGAAAATGGGCTGCCAAACACTAATGTGTAGCCAGTAGTCCCCAGGGCATGCAGAGCCCCCAGGGAAGGCCAGTGTCCCAAGCCCAGATCCAGCACCACCTTGGTGAACTGTGAAGCTCTGGACTGTAGTCAAAACTTGGAGTAGGAAGCACTGCCCAACACTTCTACTTACCCTGTTATGATACAAGATACTGTTCCCTCTTACCATCACATCAGCATAAATGCAATTGCTCAGTATGTGGTTGCACAAGTGGTGTACACTACCCAGCAGCATTCGGGGGTGTGTTAACACACGTGCACAAGAACATGGATGTGCAGGTAGTGAACACACACTGTGGTTCAGGAAGCAGTGCAAAAGGAGCCTCAGGAACTCTGCAGACCGAAAATTAATAAAAACAGATTTTATGAGGAGGACAAGGCACATGTAAAGGGACACCAAAAAGAAAGAGCCAAAGACTGAAAGAAGAGGAAAGGAAGGGTCCTTCGAGGAAGCAGGAAAATAAAAAATCCTAAAAAGTGCACCAGCTGGCATCACCTGCCTCCTCAGGATCCCTTCCGCACTGACTTCATGTCCTCTGACCACACTGACACATCCGTGCCCCCAGGAAACCTGGGATCTCACATGCCAGCACTCCAAAGAGATGTCTTTGAGGGAGCAGCAATGATTCCTGAAGCCAGGAACTGCAAAGTCATTGTAGAGGGAAACAGCAACACATGACATAGCATTCCCTGAGATCTTTCCATTCCTTGGGCTCATACAGGGATTTCCTCACTTATTCAGCAAGGAATGTGGGCCCTGAGGCAGTGTGGGGCCAGGATAAAAGGCAGCCTAACTGGTGGCTCTCTCAACCACTTCTGTCTCCTCCTTCTCCTTGGGAAACAGGTGAGTTGCAAGTCCCTTTCTCCTGCACCCTCTCCAGGACACAGCACTGAGCTTTCCAGCCCTTGTTCCTGCTCCTTCTTCTTCTGGGGCTGTTCTGCCATGGTGGCGGAGGTGTGGGCAGAGGGCAGGCCGTGTGTTCTGGCCAGAGGCTGAGGCTGGGCTGAGGTGCTGATTTTCATGCAGGTTGGGCAGGAGCAAGGCTGGGCCAGGCTGAGCTCGGAAGGAGCGAGCTGGGCTCAGGCAAAGGATCCCCAGTTTGGGGCGGCACAGCCTGGAGCTCCATGGGCAGCAGGGGCCTTGTCTTTCTGGGGGTGCCTTGCGGGCTGTGTCTCAGGTGTGCGTGTGCTCTGCTCCCTCCCTGCCCTCTGCACCAGGTGCAGCGCCAGGCTCCAGACATGTCCTGCCCTGAGAAGTGCCAGCAGTGCCAGCCCTGCAACTCTTGCTGCCAGTCCTGCGGCCCCTGCCCGCTGGGCAGCAGCTGCAATGAGTGCTGTGTCAGGCAGTGCCAGAGCTCCCATGTCGTCATTGAGCCGCCTGCTGTGCTGGTGACCCTGCCCGGCCCCATCCTCAGCTCCTTCCCACAGAACACCGCCGTGGGATCCTCCACCTCCGCTGCCGTTGGCAGCATCCTCAGCTCTCAGGGAGTGCCCATCAGCTCCGGGGGCTTTGACATCTCCTGCATCACCAACTGCTACGGTGGCAGCAGATGTTGTCGTCCTTGCTAAAGACGCTGCCGCCAATATCCTTGGGCCAGAACCTCCAAGACCTCACAACATGGAGCTGGAATGAAGTCAGAAATTTAAGACATTGGATTTAGAGCTTTGCACTATTCTTTCCTTCTTCTCTTGCTCTCATTTTCCTGTTCCATTCCTTTCCTGTCACTGCCACTCATGGACGGCCTAGTGACACCTCTTGCACTTTTTTCCTCTGCAGGCCAGGACGTCAGAAATCACTGGGGCATCATAGTGGCTGCTCCTGGTGCTGTCTCTGAGAACTACCTCCCTTTATTCTTTAGACTCAATAAAGTTCTTTTTGTATTGCAACCTGGTCCTCTGATTCCTCCTTCATTCTGTGAAAACTCTTCCAGTTTTCTCAGGAGAAAGGTGGAAAAGCAGAGAGCAGGACTCACTGCTATGGATTTTTCTCAGAGGTGACAAAGACATCACTGACAGTGAGAGTTATGAGGCACTGGAACGGAGAAGTTACTTCTTATTCCTGGAAGTGTTCGAGGCTCAAAATCCACAGGGAAGGGCTTTGATCCACTTGGTTTGTGGATGCTGCCAATGTCTATTTTGTGGGGTGGCTGTGGTGCTGGAAATGAAATAAATGTTCTTTATGTTCCCTTAAATCCCAAGTGTTTGAGTTGACACAGTTGAGCACCTGGAAAAACCAGAAAACCATGGTGGACAGGCAAAGAGTACATGTATTGCCTTACATCACAGCACAGATGAGGTTGAATCCACACTCGGGAAGGGATCCAGAAGTGGGAACATTGTCCCACTTCAGATCAGTCCCACAGGAGTACACAGGTGGGAATTTCAGCACCCGTAGGCACAGTCCTGGCTAGCAGAGCTCCTCTTTGCACCACTACTGTGATCAACCTCTGCTTTTTGTGCTCTCTGAGTTTTGATCTTCTATCTCCCAAAACAGAGACCTCAAGCTTGTCCATGCAAGGGCCTCCAAGTCTCTCCAAACACCTGCCTTGTCTCAATATAGAAATTTTACTTATCCAAATGGACAGAGGACAAACAGCATGTGCAGAGTTTATTGATCTTAGCACAGGGTGGGCAAGTGAGGCCATTCCCACACCCTCCTTTTTCTTCTTCAGAAAGGCATCAGAATGTTTTGTCTAAAAATGCAGCTTTGTGCCAGTCTGAAGGGTAAGCCAGGACTGTCTGAGAAATGTGCCAAATCTCAATCCAGCAGCCACTGCAACCCTTCTGCATGTGTCAGAGATGACCAAAGAGCTGGAGAACCTGTTCTATGAGTGAAGGGGTGGAGCCTTTTCTCTCTGGAAAGCAGAAGGTTTTGGAAAACTCCATACAGTTTTCCAGCAGTTCAAGGATTGGAATGGAAAGGATGGGGCTCTTTCATTCCAAGGATTCCCGTGGAAAGGGTGAGTCATTTCAAAGAGTTGCACCTGTTGAAGAACAGAATGCTCCAGGGCAGCTCCCCAACAGGGAAAGAAATCCAATCAGCAGGACCTGCTCCATTTCTGCCTTCTCTCTACTGCAGTGGACAGTCCTGCCAGGAATCTTTCCTGGTGCAGGCTCCTCATGGGGTCAGAGCTTTCTTCATGGTACATTGACCTGGAAAGGGCTCCATAGAACAGCTGATCCCAATCAGCTCTTCTGTGTGAGTGCTGCCGATCCCACCCTGTGAAGTGCCTCAGTCCTGTGTGTCTGGACAGCAACTGGGCAGAACACTAAATGTGAGGGAGGTGTCAGAAAAGAGGAAGTTGTGGCCTGTCCCCAAGCATTGCTGATTCCCACACACCCCTTTTCACCCTCCATTTCTGTCAAGTTTGGGAACCATCTTCCTCCTGTGGTAGTTGCAGTGGAGGAGTGAGGGGTGTGTATGTAAGCTCCAAGAGAAAAGGCACAAAGTAAAATCCAGTGTACGGAGTCCCAACCTCCACCTTTTGCCCTGAGCTCACTGAAAAAGTTGACGTGGATGAAAAGAGAATCAGAGGCCAACTTGCTTAGATGCAAAACAACTTTATTGAGTCTAAAGAAGAAAATAAAGTGGTCCTCAGAGAGCACCAGGAGCAGTCACTAAGGTGCAGCAGGGGTGTACATCTGCTGGTCTGCAGAGAGGGAGGGAGAGAAGCCAACAGATCCCACTGAGCTGGCATTGAGTGGTATTGATTGGAAAGGAATGGAAGAGAGAAAAGAGAGGAGAAGAAGGAAGCAAAAGTCAGAAGCTCTACATAGAATATCCCAGAATTCTGTCTTCATTCCAGCTCCATGTTCTGAGGTTCTTGCACAAGGATGTTGCCAGCAAATTTAGCAGGGACGACATCTGCTGCCTCCGTAGCAGTTGGTGATGCAGGAGATGTCAAAGCCCCCGGAGCTGATGGGCACTCCCTGAGAGCTGAGGATGCTGCCAACGGCAGCGGAGGTGGAGGATCCCACGGCGGTGTTCTGTGGGAAGGAGCTGAGGATGGGGCCAGGCAGGGTCACCAGCACAGCAGGCGGCTCAATGACGACATGGGAGCTCTGGCACTGCCTGACACAGCACTCATTGCAGCTGCTGCCCAGCGGGCAGGGGCCGCAGGGCTGGCAGCAAGGGTCGCAGGGCCGGCAGCAGGACATGGCTCAGGGTCACAGGTGCACCTGGCACAGAGGACAGGCAGAAACAGAAAGTGGGGACACGTGAGAAGCAGCACTGCACCCAAACACCCTGCAGCCAAGGCAGCTCTTGGCTCACATTGCACTGCCTAGCTCAAAGCCCAGGAGCCACCTCAGCCAAGTGCCAGCCTCTCACTGTCTGCACAAGACCTTCTCCCCCCTGCCCTCTCCCAGCAGAAGCAACTCCCAGCCCTGTGCTCCCAAATCCTGTCTCAGCTGAGACCTACAGCCAGGTAGGTCTCTTGAAGCAGCAGGAGCAGGAGCAGGATCTTCCCACTCACCTGAGGATTCCTGAGGAGAAGGAGGTGGGAGAAGTAGATGAGAGAGCAGAGACTGGGGCTGCCTTTTATAGCAGTCCTGCCCTGCCTCAGGCCGTAAGGCACCTTTGTGGAAGTCATAGTTTTCTGACCAGCTCATGTCAAATGTGCACCATCCCAGCTAGTGGTAGGGGCTGTGTCCTGGTTTCCTGCATTGCTGCCTTTTCATTTTCTGGCTTCTGCTGTGTGCATTTGTATTTCCTATCTGAAGTCTTCTCAAATGGCCGGGATTCAAGGGCCAAGAATTTCCAGGATGTAAACACGTCAGCGTAGGCCGAATGTTTGGATCGTGGTCTAGTAACATTCCATGTAGGCACACAGTGTTCACCTGTGTTATTCCTGTAGATTTATTTGTGGAAAAATGTTGTGTGAATCATGCTTATTCTTCTTGTACACATGCACCAGGGGTGCCATGTGAGGCTAGAGGAAACATCCTTTTCTCCTTCTCCCCATCCTCTCTCTGGCAAGCATGTTTTGTTTCACTGAGATAGGCTTCTGCTTGCAGGATTTTTTCTTTCTTGCCATACTTACAGTATCTCAGGGAAATTGTGCTGGTCTCATCAACCTCACCCTCTTTCTGTACATTGTCTGTGGGTCCTTTGAGAAGACAAGGACCATTTCTGTGGCCGGATTCCTTCATGGGATGCTTGAGTTCTCTCCTCTCAGAGTTGTCGCCAGCACCTCAAGAGACTACCCACTTTTTAGTGGTTTTCTTTTATGAATGTCCAAATTGCAAGGTTCAAGGGAGGCCTTCCTAAGCACATGTGTCAATTTGCAAGTATTTTCATCATGAGGACACATGATGGTTCTCACAGCCGGCCCCCCTTTGGCGTGTTTTAGCCCCACTGAGGCACTGGTTGCCCTGGAGAGATGGAGCCAATGTATAGCTGAACAGTGCTGCTTTGACCTTGCAGAGAAATGTCCAGAGAACTGAAATGCAGCCTCTGCCTCCTCCACCCTCCACTTCTTCCTTTATGTTCAGGGAGAAAGCCCAGAAATCCTGCCAGCCTCTACAGGCCTTCATCCCAAATGCAACCCTCTCTGCTGGAGTGTTGCTGGTGAGTGGGTGAGGTGTCCCACTCGTAACGGGGAGACAACAGCCAGGATTTGTATAAAGTGGTGGTTGAGAGGAAGGACCAAAGTCAGAGAGTCCATAGAACATTTCATATTTTATTAGTAAAATGCAAACTTGGCATGGAAATAGGGGAAAGGAAAAGGAAACGAGGGAAGGTGAGGTGAGGTGAGGTGAGGTGAGGTGAGGTGAGGTGAGGTGAGGTGAGGGGAGGTGAGGTGAGGTGA